TATCTATCTATCTATCTATCTATCTATCTATCTATCTATCTATCTATGTTTCCTTTCCCTTTTATGGCTGCCTTACTCCTCCCCATAGCCTCATTTTTGAGCTCTTTTCCTTATGGTCAAAGTCACAGAGCAGCAAGCAGGCATTTTGTAACAAAAATCTTTGCTTCTCATAAGATCAAATTTCTTGGGCATCGTCGCATCTTTTCACTATTTTGCAATATTAGCCAAGCTTGGCCCATAAGTATGTATTGCTCCTTATCACACCCTACATCACTGTTTCAGAATAAAATGGAAGGGAAGGGAATAGAGAATAGAATAGAGAATAGAATAATTATTGTTACTTTAAATGTACACTAATCAGCATACATTAAAATGAAATATCGTTGCATTCAGCTCTTAAAAGATAACCATTATGCATATACCCACATAGACACACACATGACACAATGAAACATCACAGTGTAGTTTGAATCTCTCTCTATATAAAAGTGAAATGCTACTCACACATCATCACAAAATCTCCAGAACCGTAAAGCCTACAGACTTGAAATTTGGCACTCTTGGCTTCTAGGTGCTCACTAAGAAAGGATTTTTCTAAATGACCATCAGTGCGTTAGTATTTTGTATATTATTATTAACACACTCTGATGCTAAGGAGTTCTACTCCCCTTCCCCACCTGAAAAGAAATATCTTCCAAATGCAAAACACAAGCAGAAGAGAGGAGTTTCAGTTTCACTTTGAGAGCTCCAAGAAGCTTTAGTTCAGAACTGTTGAGCTAAGCCACGCCCAGGCTCCTTGCTGTCTCCTTCTTGCTCACACATCAAATACTCTTTCAGTTTCCAAGCAGCCCTAAACTCTCTCACACACTGACGGGACGCTACCCAGAGGAATAGCGATGGATGCTGGTAGGCAGAGGCAAAATTTTCCCCCCTTATTTTCCTCCCCCAAAACTAAGCCGACCACATAGTTTCGTAGCAAAGCAGGGGTATCGAGGTAGTATATACATTTGCATGGCGGGAGGGAGGGAAAAAAGAATTCTGTGAATTTACAAGATGGAGGGCATAAGGAACAAGGCTGTTACAAAATCTAATCTAATCCTCTAAGAGCAAAGACTTCTGTGATAGACACCGGCTTTTCCTGTCACCCTGGCTTCAAGCACGAATACGTTGGATGTAAGAGCAGAGGCCTTAAGCAAACAAACCATGTTTGAGTGATCCCTGCTTCTCCTTGAGAAGAGGGTTTTGAATTGTTTGATAGAGTCATTGATTTTCCTTCACCAAGAGCGGAAATTTGCAAAGAGAAAAGAAAATCAAGTAATCTTTTGCCGTTGGGTTGGGCCTCATCGATAAACCCCTGGGCATGCATAGACTTCTCTTATTTCTTCTTTCTGTTTGTTCTCTGCGTGTGTATGGAGGATGCTATCGAAGAGCACCTACAATTTCTATGAAATAACGAGCTTCTTACATTCATGCTTGTATAATATTTCAGCCAACAAGTGACCGAATGTGAATTTTAAAATATGATTTGAGAGGGGGGAAGGGGGAAGAAGAGGAGGGATCATTCTGTTATATTAGAAAGAAGCCGTCGTTTCAATCATTCTTCCTTTATTTTCTACATCATACATTTGAATAGCAGTTCAAGGCTGTCAGTCTCATACTTGTTTTATAACAGATAACAGATAATCAGAGTTGGAAGGGACCTTGTAAGTCATCTAGCCCAACCCCCTGCCCAAGCAGCAGACCTTACACCATTTATGACATATGGAAGTCCAATCTGTTCTTGAAAGTCGCAACTGATGGCGCTCCCACAACTTCCGAGGGGCAAGCTGTTCCATTGGTTGATTGTTCTCACTGTCAGAAAATTTCTCCTTATTCCCAGGTTAAATCTCTCTTTGTTCAATTTCCATCCATTATTCCTTGTCTGGCCTTTGGGTGCTTTAGACAATAGCTTGACCCCTTCTTCCTCTCTGTGGCAGCCCCTCAAATATTGGAAGACTGCTATCATGTCTCCCCTGGTCCTTCTCTTCCCTAGACTAGCCAGGCCCAGTTCCTGCAACCGTTCATCGTATATTTTAGCCTCCAGTCCCCTCATCATCCCGATTGCTCTTCTCTGTACTTTTTCTAGAGCCTCAGCATCTTTTTTATAGTGTGGTGACCAAAACTGGATGCAGTACTCTAGGTGTGGTCTTACTAATGCTTTATAGAGTGGTATTAGTACCTCACTTGATCTTGATTGTATCCCTCTGTTAATGCAATTTAGGATTGTATTAGCTTTTTTGGCTGCTGCTGCACACTGCTGGGTCATAAATATTATAAATATTTGCATATAAATCTAAGCTGGTTACCAATAGACTTCTAAATGTACGAAAATTAAGACACACAGAAATAACGCTACATATTCATGCATACCATAGATGCAGGGAATGAGCCATAATAACATTGTGGGCACCAAAAATGTACATGATGTGTGTCATATGCCTGATGACATCATAATAGAATTGACAGTACTGAACACTAGTTCTCTTGTAGATGAATGGAACTTGCAATGTGCATATACATCATTGCATACCAAAAACATGTTGCGCAGTTGTAAAGAATTTGTGAAGCTGGTTGTTGAGACAAAAACTGTCAAAAGGAGGAGAGAACCAAAGTCTCTTTGAATTGTGTGAAGAAGTGGATTTTGTAGTTAGAGGGACTTTTCAAGAAGTTCTTGTTGAAGTAGCAAGGGTTTCGATTTGTGTTTGGGAAAATTTTTGCTTTCTCAATGTGGAAGTGATTCTCTGGGGAACACAGTTTGTTTCGCTTTTTCAGCTACGCTGAAGATTAAAAGCCAAAAAAAATATGTGTTGGGAGAACACTTGAAGCCACCCTGAACTTCAAATTAGCAAATTAGGGAAACGATTTGAGGTGGGTGTTGCTGTTATTATTTTAAATGAAAATTGGAAGACTGCGCCTTTTCTTTCTTTCAGGTGGATTTGCTGAATTTTCCAATTGCTTCCCTGGCCTTTGCGAAGGAAAATCTATCCTGGTGCCTTCCTGCATTTCTCAACCTTGCTTACCGGTTTCCAACACGGGACCCACCCGGATTCTCCCCCACCTGTACCTGGGATGCCAAAGAGACGTCCTCAACAAGGTAGGCTAGAAATGAGAGGGAGGGGAGATCATGGGTGCGCTTGAGCCCCATCGCAAGCAGGGCAGGGCAAGGTTTCCTAAGCGCTTGAAACGCTGTGTAAATTGAGGCCATCTTTGATTCTAGATCAGGGGTATCAAATTCCATTTCATTGAGGGCCGCATCAGGGTTATGTTTGACCTCGGGGAGGCGTGACCAGTACGTCACTCGTGTCGGGGGTGGTGGTGCCTGTGGTGGCCCAAGTGCTCTGCCAGTGAAAACAAGCTCCCGAGCTCCGTTTTTGGCTGTGATGGCCTCCTGCAACCCTCTGCCTGCGAAAACTGAACTCAGGAGGGCCGTGCACAGCCCTTGCAAGCTCTGTTTTCACTGGCAGAGGCACCGCGGACCAGTCCTTCACTGTTTCCAGGCCGGCCACGTGCGCAGGGGTGGGTTTCTACCGGTTCTGTCCACCTCTGTAGAACCAGTAGCTCTGAGGAGCAGCAGACATAGAACCGGTTCTATGTCTGCTGATGTTTTTGCCCACTCGCCTGCCCGGGCTCTTACCTGACCTTTATTTCCTGATTTTTCAACTTCAGCTGCTGTGCGAGGCACAGCTGCAGTTAAAAAAGCAGGAAAAAAGGGCTTTTTGAAAGGCTGCTTCTCTGCCCGCAGCATCCTGATGACACTTTACAGGCGCGCGGCTCACAGCGTGCAGGGAAGCTCATAAATCCCCAACTGGTAGTTAACCCCATCAGATCCCACCCCTGCCCGTGGGCCAGATCTAAGTACCCCAAGGGCTGGATCCAGCCCACAGGCCTTTAGTTTGACACACCTGCTATAGATAAGCTCAAAGAAGATACAGCACTGAGCCATGTAAGGTGGATTGTCCCACTCACTCGAGGAAGGTGGACAAACTTTGGATCCTTTCTCTGTAACAGTGTAATCTGGTGGGATCTGCTAATCCTTAGCGGTGCCTGCCCTTTGGAGTTATCTACCCCCGCTCTTCCCAGGTCCATTTGGCCCCAATTCAGTGATCTCTTTGGAAGGCTTTAAGAAGGGGGCAGCTTCTCCAAGCACTATGGCTTGGATGCGGAATTCCCCATCTCGGGAGACTAGGGATGTGAGCCCCGTGAAAATTAAAGTCATTGATAAATACGGCTTCTTTTCACAGGAGCTCATGCAACAGAATGAGATCGGCTATGTGTTAAACGCCAGCAATACATGTCCCAAACCTGACTTCATCCCAGAGTCCCACTTCTTAAGGGTGCCGGTGAACGACAGCTTCTGCGAGAAAATCTTCCCCTGGCTGGACAAGTCCGTGGACTTCATAGGTAAAGGTTTGAGTTAACCAGGGGTCTCTTTACAACTCCAGGAATGTATTTCCATCCACTTGTTTTCGGGTAGGATTCTAGGTTATTGAGAAAGGCTCCCACCCGAGCAGCAACAGAAACATTCAGGGAGCGTCAGAAGTCAAGGACTGCAACTGCATAACCAAAGCCACAACTCATTTTCAAAAGGTGTGCGAATTGGGCAGTTGTAGCTGCCATCTTGACTTCCTGATTCCCTCCTGCAGATGCCTCTGGTGTAGCAGAGAAGGCAAGCGTGTCACAAGTATTAGAAATTGGAGGACACAGGAGTGCGGAGTGGCACCTAGTTGCCAATTCCTTAAATGCGTGGTGTCTTTCCCATGTGCCTGGTTTCCATAAATGCTGAGTTGACATGCAACCATAGGGAAAACATGCTTGGTTTTTAGGAGTGCCACGGATTACTTTTTGAACACGAGAAGTTCCTTCTTCTTCTCCAATTTCAGCTATTTTTTTTTCCTCAGGGATGTTTTTTTTAATAGCCGATTTGTTAAAATGTTGTAGAAGAGCAAGCCTAGGGCTGTCAACCATCTTGATTTTTTTTTTTTTTGACCACATCCTGCAAATATTCCTGGATAAACAGGAGATCTGGTCTAGACTGTGTTCCCATCCTCCTCCTGGAGGAAGGCTTGCGGAGGCCTTGAGGCAGTTAAATTTGGGGTGAAGCACAAAGAATACATCCGGTCTGCTATGTCCTTGATGACTTTTCTGTCTGAAATGATGAGTACGTTGCCTTATATAACCTCCACAGTCAAAGTATGCAGGTAGCCATATCTACATAAACAAGTCATTTGTAAATGATTGCAGGAATCGGGTACGTCTAGTTTAACAAAGAGAAGGTCTGGGGTGACACAGCAGTCTTCCAATATTTGAGGGGCTCCACGGAGAAGAGGGGATCAACCTATTCTCCAAAGCACAGGACAAGAAGCAGGGGTTGCAAATATTTTTACTACCGTTTCTGTGGGCATGGCTAGGTGGGCATGGCCACGTGACTGGGTGGGCATGGCTTTTTCGCAGCACCCCAGACACACACCCTGCGCTTTGGTTTTTTTTTGCCTCCTGGGCCTCAGGGAAGCCTCCTGGGTGAAGCAGCAAGGGAGATTCTGGAGGCACAGCTGATTGTCGGAACAGCTGATCGTCGGGAGGAAAAAAGAAATACCATAAAGAGTGACTGGGCGGGGAGGGGCCAGCCAGGGGCACAATTTGCCAGTTCTCCTAGAATCCCACCCGATAAGAAGCAAAAAGTTAATTAAAGAGAGATCCCATTTAGAACTAAGGACAGATTTCCTCAGAGGGAGAACAATCAATCAATGGAATGAATAGCTTGCCTTCAGGAGCTGTGGGTGCTCCATCGCTGGAGGCTTTTAAGGACTGGACAGCCATTTGTCTTCTGCTTGACCAGGGGGTTGGACTAGAAAACCTCCAAAGTCCCTTCCGACTCTGTTGCTTTGTATTCTGTTTTACAAAGCTATTAGCTACAGAAGAAACATGGGTGAATAAGGGCTAGCCAACCTTTCATTACTCCCAAGGGCCTGGATTAGCTTTCTGTACAGGTATTGTATATAATCTTTAATCACTGCTATGTTAATTTCCCCCTTCGTTTTCACCTCCCCAGTTTTGCTCCTTACTGAAAGCTCTGGAAAAAAAAACAACACCTTCTGCACTTAAATTGGATCTTGCAAATTGGATCTGGAGCCCAAGGGTGCCTATGCGGCCCAGTGGATGATAATTCATAACAATATAGACATTTGAAACACATCTGTAAAAAAAGAACAACCCTGCGATTTCATGCGAGATGCAACTGCCCCTAACCGTTGACAATTAAAATACAGTTGTTTTAAGTGCAGGGTTTCAATTGATAAAATAGTCCGCCTCTCGACTTCCCCCACTGACAAGGATGATTATCTGATTATCTTGGGTGCAGGGCGGTTTCTGATTTTCCTGCTTTTTAGAGTATCCTGATTTTTGTTTCTCTTTGCTTGCCGCAGAAAAAGCCAAAGCTTCAAACGGTTGCGTCTTAGTCCACTGTTTAGCCGGAATATCCCGCTCAGCCACAATTGCCATTGCCTATATAATGAAAAGGATGGACATGTCCTTAGATGAGGCCTACAGGTAAGGGGGAAGAGCTCTTGTCATCCTGAAGAAACTCAACCGGGAAGGTTGGGACTTAGCTATTTCCAGAGTCATGGTTGGAAAAATGGCTTCCGTGCGGTCAGTTGCCGAGGTCCTTCACTGGAGAGGGCAGAAAGGGTCCCTGTTTCTCATTCATTAAGAGTGGCGTTATCTTGGCTTTCCAAAGAGCCTCTGGTGGGTTGCAGCTCAGATTTGTAATCTATCCTACTGAGTCACTATTTATTGGGTTTTTTTTTCCAATTTCATTTTTAATAAGTTATAAAGTATTGCAAAATACAACACACAAAAGGAAATAAGAGGAGAATGAAAGGGGAAGTGGGGAAGAAAAGCGAGGAAGGGATAGACAATCTAGATTCATAGAGATTAGAGATATAGACCAGAGGTCTCCAAACTTGGCAAGTTTAAGACTTGTGGACTTCAACTCCCGGAATTCCTCAGCCAGTATCACTGGCTGAGGAATTCTGGGAGTTGAGGTCCACAGGTTTGAAAGTTGCCAAGTTGGGGGACCCCTGATACAGACAATCGAGATTGATGGATAGATACAGATGATAGTAGATAGATGATTGATTTGGGTATATGCTAAATGATTCATGAAAGAGCGATTTCAGAAAAGGATTGCAAGGAGAACAGAATAAAGAGCCACGCATGGCACTGCCAGATCATTCTTTAAGGGAGCAGAACATACGTGGCTGGTCAAAGGTGACTTTGCTTTAATCCAAGGGTGTGTACTTTGCACAATGGGTGACCTCAACTTACCTTGGAAAGTAATGCTTTTACAGCCTAGCCAACCTCAGTGAATCTTGTGTACGCACAATTCAAGCCTTGAGTTCAAGGTCAATTGGCTGAATTCCCCTTTTTCCATTTTGAAATTCCTATTTTAGGTTTGTGAAAGAGAAGAGGCCGACTATTTCTCCTAACTTCAACTTTCTCGGCCAGCTTCTGGACTTTGAAAAGAAGATCAAGAACCAGGGAGGCACCGGCGGGCTTGTTAGCAAACTCAAGCTTCTGCATTTGGAAAACGGCAGCAACCACGGAGCAGGGGGTGGAACCCTACGGGCCTCTTCTCAGCTCTGGGCTTCCTCTACCTCAGAGAAGGTGGAGCCGAAAGCCCCGGAGCCAGGAAAGCCATCAGCTCCGACTCTCCCACCGTCTGCAGAGGGCGGCTCCTTGGTGCAAGGCCGAACTGGGTTAAACGTCCCCTCCGATAAAGTTGAAGACAGCAACAGATTGAAGCGGTCATTTTCCTTGGATATCAAGTCCGTCTCGTGCGCCGCCGGCAACGCTTGCCTTACGGCTTCAGGACCAGGCTATCCTTCCTTGGAAGACACGTTGGAGTTCTACAAGCATTCGGCTACTTTGGAAGCGGGCGGCAAATTGTGCCAGTTCTCTCCAGTCCAGGAGGTTTCAGAACAGACCCCCGAGGGCAGCCCCGATAAGGAACACACCAAGCTGCCGGAGAAGTCCCACCAGGGTTGGCAGCCCGACAGCCAGAGCAAGCGCCAGCATTCGGGAAGGACCAATTGTTCTGCTCAGAGGTCATCCTTGTACCCGTTGCATCGAAGCGGGAGCATGGAAGATAATTACAGAACCAACTTCCTCTTCGGCCTTTCGGCCAGCCAGCAACATCTGGCCAAGTCTGCAGCTGGGCTGGGCCTCAAAGGCTGGCATTCGGACATCTTATCTCCTCAGACCTCTGCGGCTTCCCTGACCGGCAGCTGGTATTTCACCGCCGATCCTTCCCATATTTATTCCGCTTCAGCCATATACGGGAGGAGCGCCACCTATTCGGCCTTCAGTTGCAGCCAGCTACCCACGGGGTGCGAGCAAACGTATGGGGTGCGCAGGAGAGAAAAACACGGGGAGCGAGGCGACTCCCGGCGGAGCTGGCACGAGGAGAGCTCTTTTGAGAAGCAGTTCAAGCGGAGGAGTTGCCAGATGGAATTTGGGGAAAGTATCATGTCCGAGAACAGGTCCCGAGAAGAACTTGGGAAAATGGGAAGCCAATCCAGCTTTTCAGGCAGCATGGAGATTATTGAAGTTTCTTGACTCTCTTCGTTGATTTCCTGCCCCCCCCCCCCCCCCCCCATTCCTTCTGTCCCAATTTTCTATAAAACAATTCCCTGTAAATCTGAAATTTCAGAATACTGTTCAGCTCCGGTATGGACGAAATTTAACACAAACTGATTGTGTGTGCGTGCCTGCGTGTGTGGCTTTTTTGTGTGTGTGCATGCACGCACAGAGGCCTCGTGAGTGTATTCAAGAGGGATTAAATGGTAAAATTTAATTTTTGCAATATAGACAATCAGCTCTTTTCTTGCCTTGCACGTTCTCATCACCTTAAGGCAAAAAATAAATAAATAATGCAGCTATTTTCCTAAGTTTCCCTTAACAAATGAAGGCGTGACAGGCCAAGTTGCGCATCCTTGTTGTCTTTAACGAATCGGCCTTTGTTAAGCAGACGTGAGGTTTGTTTCTACTAAAGTTTTGATTGAAAGGTGACTGAAAGTTTGTGCTCTCTGCTGCTGTATATTTCCCGAGAAATACGTCTTAACAAGATTCTCAGTCATCCAGGTGGAGCTGTCTGGAAATTGAATCGTGGGCACTGGGCTTGTTTTTCTTTTTGGTATGAAACGTTTCGCAGTTCGGAAGCGACTTGGGTAAGCCGCGAAATGTTTCAAACCCCAAAAGAGAAAGAAGTTGGGTTCCCCCCCAAGAAACATGTCTCAATGGGAGCTGAGAGAGACTTTAAGACACACGCTATTTGCACAACCGTTGTATGAATGCCACCTTAGACAATCTTCATTAAATGGCCTAGTCAGCCTCTCAAAATGAGACACGCAAGCAGACTTTTTCAGGTTCTGGATGTGTTGCTAACTCTTGATGAGGATTATTACCCTGCAGACGGCAAGTTGTCCCACGTGCATATTTTCATGTTTTATGTCTTAATTTGTGTCTTTAATATTCAAGGTACACAAATACGCCTTGCAATTGAGACCCTGCATGTGCTGTTATACAAATGCCAGAACTGTGTCTAAAGGAAACTGACATCCTCTGCACCCACCTACCAAGGACATTTACCCAGGAAGCGCCCGACAATTTCCATGATCCAAGCTCACAAAAGCATGATCCCGTATCTAGGCCCCAGGCACTCACAGGTCAAGCAGGAATGCAAAAAGGAAAGGACATTTTTGATACTCTTGGGTGTGTGTGTGTGTGTGTGTGTGTGTGTGTGTTAGGGGTGCATCAGAGAGATTCCATTCCATACTTCCAATCAGTACAGGTGGAATGTAAAGCACAAGCAACAGGACTAAGTTGTATCGAAAAGGTGTTACCATTTATCACCTTGAGCTTCAAAACATGCCACTCAAAATGTAGTAGGAATACTGTCAGTGGTTCTCTGCTGTTCTTCACACACACACACACAACACACAACCAGATGAAACACCCTAATGCAGAGTTTCTCGTGTGGCTTTTGTTCTTGGAGATAACTGCTTATTCCTCCAAAAATCCACGCAGGAGGGCCTGTGACACATTTATAGAGGAACAGAGAATAGGATAGGGCAGAATTTAAATACAATAATAAAATAATAAAACAGACACGCAGCGGTGAAGAGGATACCGTCAAAGGACTGCAATAGCAGGGCCCCTCGTTTTTTTATGCTCCACCCTATTTTAAGCATCCATTTTTTTCTACCGATGTAGAAACTGTATAAAGTTTTTTTCCCCCTCTCAGAATCCCAAATGGTACACAAGCTGTTGTGAGCTGAAATTAGGGGACTCCAGTACTGCTGCAATGTTTCACTTTGTATAACCAAAATCTAGAGGGGGAAATGCCATTACAGATAGTCATCGATGTTCATTTAGTGGCCGTTTGGAGTTATAAAGGCACTGGGAGAAAGAAGCGACTCATGGCTGTTTTTGGTCACAGGATCAAAATTCACTTAAGCGCGACCACCTTTAACAGCTGCAGTGATTCCCTTGGCAACTGTGGCAAGGAAGGTCGTAAAAATGGGGCAAAACTCACTTCAACAGCTGCCTTGCTTAGCCATGGAAATGTTGGGCTCAACTGCAGTCATAAATTGAGGACTACCTGTTCTGGGGTGGAGGCGTACTTCCTTCTCAGTTCCATATTGCAATTCTCCCTGAATCACCATTCAGCTTCCTGGAGAACGTAGCCTGTATCTAATGACACCGGCGCTGGATTCGTCTCTAAAATGAACCGTAGAGAACAAGGTGTTCTGCATAAGGAAAAGCCGTATCAACAACGCAGCCCAACCCTTTGCTGGTTCTGTTGGCTGATGCAGGGAGACAACTTGAGAACTGGCGTGATCAATGACCAGGGAAATATTTAAATCCAAGCTTACTCCCCTAATCAGGAAATCGTTATGTTATGCAAGAAAAGCTACTCTCTCAACAGCGACACAGGTCAATTGCAAACTTTTATCTCTTTAGCTTACCATTCCATGATTTCTCTATTACACGTATTTGTTGGTTAGATTCTCTTCTCTCAGTTCAGGCTATTTTTCCCTGTTAATATTCCCATTTGTAGTATCAACTGTCAGCATGATTTCACAGGTGAATCATCTGTGCTTGCTTCATTTATCATACATAAAGGATCACTCAACAGTAGGAATAGCATCTCTAGAGAGGACATAGGAGGCTCTGGAGGAACACTAGTTTGTGAGTGAAAAGTTGTGTGTGTGTGCAGGGGGTGGGGGTGGGAAAGTGAGGCTGGAAGACTCCCAAGCCCTGGACCATCTCGGCAAAGCCATTCTCCTGCAGCACGAAAGCAGTGGCCACCCAGAAGAAAAAAGGCAGGTGCTATATCAGGTTATCCATATTTTGCAGGTTTATTAATAAATATGTCAAGTCATGATCATACATCGTTCAGAGAAGGAAATTCAGTGCAAGGCAAAAACAAACAAACGACGAAAACATTGAATTTTCAACGAAGGAAAATACATAATCGTACCCAGAATATCATCTGCAGAGTTTTCAAGAAACTCCTTAAGTACCATCCTACCTTCCCTATTCTGTATTTAAGACCTCAAATAAACCCCCTTTCGGTGCACTTAAAATATTCCTAAGGAACCCCAGGAGGGGGGAAAAAAAACCCCAATCCATCTAGCGGTTCGTTTTTTTATGCCCATTTTGGAATAAAGCAAGATAGGCTTTCAGGAACCCAGGATGTGCTTCTATCCAGATAGGGCTGCTATAATTAATCAGGATGGAGAACATACCGGACTGATTCAGTGGTAGAGGATGCATATTGCACTAAGTGGAAGTGGCACACAAGACCATATGGGATTTCTCTTCCTGCCTAGAAGTTCGCACATCGTTGCTTTCTCTCTCTGGCTCAGGATTGACTCACGTGCCAAAGGAAATCAGCAATGAAAGCTTCAGCCACATCCAACAGTTTCGGTATTTCAAGGTTGATGACCCACTGAGCACCTAAAGAGTCATTTGTGCGTGAGGATTATTCCAGGGGGTTGAATTGGCCTTTCCAAAACTTTTGCAGTCCCAAATTTATCTGTAGCAAGCCCAGTTAAGAGCCATCATCTTAGCATAAATCAGATACGTTGCAGCTTTGTGAAAATTTGGCTTGCAATAGGAAATGTAACATTTAAAAATTTGTTTTTATTTTTTAAAAAGGCTATGGTGGATTTTATTAACAAGAACTATGGAATGAGTTTGTATTGCACAAATGAGGCAGAATTTACAAAATAAGAAAACGGGTGTAACAATGTTCTGCTAGAAGAAAACTAGCTGTTTATTATATTGCTGCCAAAAGATATATAACCAATTTAGGTGATACACATTTTTGTTAGAACTTCTAACAAGTATGGTTTTCTAAATATATCTTTGGCATGTTAAAGCCCAGCAAATCAACTTGAGGTATGCCCTTGGCTGTTAATTCTTGACTAGAGTTGTTATACAATAAAATATGAATGCAGTTTTATTGCATTTAATATGTATTCCTTTCTTAAACGATGGTTTAGTTTCTGGAAATAAATCCATCGAAATAGAACATTTCGCAGAGAAGAGCAACCAAAAGTTAGGGACTTTCGGAATTACAGCTAAATCTTTTCCTGGTGATTAGAACAGACTTTCCAAGTAAAAAATTGAAATGCCTCTTCTGTAAGCAACGTTGTGTAATGTTTATTAAATATGCATCTGCTACTATTTCAAACAGGGCACTCATAGGAGTTCCCAATAACAATACAACAAGTTATCAAAACGATTTCAAATGAAAAAAAAAATGCACCATGCTAGAATAGCAAACGGGTTTTTTTAAATATACATAAAACAAAAAAGAAGTGGGGGGAGAAAGTGGCACACTATCAAATGTCCAACAATGTCAGCCCCAAAAACTTGTGGAAGGAAAAGCTTGGTAATCAGCTCAAAGATGGATGACAGCAATTAGACGAGACCCCCACGGCGATATCCTCCAACCAGTTTCCAGTCTGCATATGGAATTGTGTTGGGCAGGAAATCACCGTAATTCTTTTAATCACCTTGGAAGAAAACAGCAATGTTTACACTGGATTCAATCCCTTGAGAGGGCGTTCTGTGCCTTTTTTTTTTATTTTTAATTTCCATGCATTCCCTTCTCCATGTTATTGTCAAGGGCACTTAAGGTTTCTACCTGTGGAAGGAACGGTGTCTTTTCCACGAAGGGCTATGGGTGGCCAGGTCTGACCTCCCCCAATCTGGTTCCCAACCAGGGCAACCTCCAGGAATTCTAGGCAGCATCGAATCAGGCCAAACCTGACCTGGGCTCGGGCGCATCGTCCTGGTGATGGGTTTTCACGTTGCCGAGTGGAAGGAAGTCTGGGCAGGGAATGGGGCACATTAAATCATGAAGGGAGTCGATGATTGCATGTTTCATTCGCCTGCGCAGAAGGGGCACTTTCATCCTTTGAGCGTAAGAACCTGGGTATCAATATCTTCTTGAAGTAATCGTTGCACTAAAGGGTGCACAGGAAACACGCTCGATGGCCTGGGCTTGTTATCCCAAAGAGAGGCAACTGGACTTTCCGGTTTTTCTTTGAAGAGGTTTCCCTTCGTATCCAAGAAGCTTCTCCAGCTCTCGGCTTTTTGGATAAGAAGCGAAACCTCTTCAGAAGAAAAAAAAAACAAGGAAGTCCAATTGCCTTCTGAAAAAGCACCGCTGGGATAACCCTGACCTGGATGACTGAGAATTTCCATAGAATCTGCCAATGATTTAATCTCTTGTCTAAGGACTGTTCCCCACCGCCACATACACGCACTATTCAATTTTCTTTCCTCAGACAAAATGCAAAAGAGATTCTACATCTTTGTCTGGAGACTGGGAGGTGAGGCTGTTCTCCTTGGCCAGTACTGAAACCTCATCATCTTTGCGACAGAGGAAGCGAAGCACAGAAACAGAAGACAGCCTTCCTCCAACTGATGATAAGAGGGGGATTCAGGCACAGCGTTTTTCAAGCCAGGGCAGGACATCGATCGGAATGAATATCTGAGAAGGGCAGGTTACAGCAAATATAAAAATGGGGGGAATCTACTCCTCCTTTTGTGACAGAGACACCCGGGTAGGATTAAAACATGGCGATTTGGAATAGAGGCCAGAGGTCTCCAAACTTGGCAACTTTAAGACTTGTGGACTTCAACTCCCAAATTCTGGGAGTTGAAGTCCACAAGTCTTAAAGTTGCCAAGTTTGGGGGGGCCCTGACATAGGCTATTCTGACACAAGTTGCCACGCACGTGCCGTTTTAGCTTTAATGTTGGAAAAAATGTCAGCAACGCAGATAAAAGTGCAGAGGGAGAAAGAGAAATTGGATACCCCGGGCGGGCTCCTGCCTATGAATTATCTTGGAAGGTGGGGGAGACCCCTTCCAATTGCCATTAAGAATCATGTCAATAAAGTAAGGATTCCCTGGCTTAGCACTTTTTCCACTTCCTTTGGCCACGAATTTAACATAGCTCCTGCTTCTTATAAAACCGTTTTTTTATTAGCAATCTTGGCAACTCGAGGAGACCACATGGATTCAGAAAGTTTCCCGGAGGAAACGGGAGCAAAAGACAAGGCAACCTGACCTGGCAGGGGAGGCCTGAATGGCATAGCCTAGCCGTGACATTTCCATAACTCAAGCAGTCACGCGTTTAACAGCCCTATAAACTAAGAAGTAATTTAAGCACACGACCGAATTGCACAGGGAGGGAAATCCACTAGGCCTCAAAAAGGACATTCATCCCACACAAGCTGCATTGTGTTATGCAAGTGAGGTGAGCAAAGACTCCTTCAGGCTTTGGACATTTCACTATAAACTGCATCATTACAAGGAACCTAAAACCTTGGTAGACAAATTGGGCTTTTTTTTTTACTTTTCTTAAAAGTCCTCCCATGGGTTTAATTAGACTCTTCAACCCAATTTTTTTAAAAAAAAAAAAACGAAAACGGGTTTTCAAAGTGTCATATGGGAAACCAGTGGGGTTTTTTAAAAAATGGATCTTTATTATTAGGAATTACTCAACAAGATGGGACGGCAGCTGATGAACAAAGACTCCTGAAAGTCCATTTGTCCACAACCTGCAATCTTGGCTTGAAAGACCAGGGAATGCTGGGGAGGCGAACCCTGACAAGGCAGGCCGCAGTGACAATGAAGAGGTTTGAAGCCCCAGGGGTGGCCTTCAAAAAAACTGAGGAAGGGGTTCTCTGCCCCGGCTGCTGGGTGGGCGTGGCCATGGTGGGCGTGGCCTAGTTGGCCTCCTGCACCACAGCGGGGGGGGCGTTTTTCCGCCCCCCGGGCTCCAGAGGCTCTCTGGCCCCCCCTGGGCCTCCGTGCGGGCCCCGCACTTATCTGGGATCCAAAATGGGCCATGTGGAGACTCCTGGGAGGTGCGGGAAGGATGGGGCCAGCCAGTTGTTGCAACTACCGGTTCAACGAACCGGATGCAAAATTAACATCCAGTTCGCTCAAAGCGGTGCGAACCGGTGGTCGGACCACCCCTGGTTCGCTCCAGATTTTGTATGAACTAACCAGATGCCCCCAACAATGGTTTTAAGCTTGTTCCTGGAGGTCACAAGGTACCCTAGAAATAAAAAGTTAAAAACCACTGTAGATGGAAGGGAAGGCAGAGGATCTTGGCTTGATTAAAAACACTCTGCTCGGTGGACAGCAGCGATAAGCAAGCGGGCAAAAACTGTGAAAGTAGCCAAATATGCATGTCCTTCTAAGCAGCTGCACTCTCTGTCCGTCCCTGGAGGGTCTTCTACTCACCCTGAGCCTGAAGCTTCAAGCAAGGTCCTGCAGTCAAGCCTGAGAAGAGAGGGCTGGATGGAAGCTATAACTTGAGCTCCCTGTCCGGTTTCATACAAAAGGGTTCCAGCCGCTCGTTCTCGGGCAGCAGGCTGTTCAGCCTCTCCATCAGTGGGACCGTTAGGTCAATGCCCATCTGGACGCGGCGGAGAATGGCGGACATCTCGTTGACTTTCTGGATCTGCTCGGCGTACTTGGCATACCTTTTCTGGCGCTCTTGCATTAAAGTGTACAGCGTTTCTACTGAAAGATCCATCTGTAAAAATAAACAACAGAAATGGGACTTAATAACTTTGACATATATACCGCTTCGCGGTGCTTGACAGCCCTCACTAAGCGATTTACAGAGTCAGCCTCTTTGCCCCCAACAATCTGAGTCCTCCATTTTGCCGACCTCGGAAGGAGGGAAGGCTGAGTCAACCCTGAGCCGGTCAGGATCGAACTCCTGGCAGTGGGCAGAATTAGCCTGCATTACTATACTCTAACCACTGCGCCACCACGGCCAGACATGGATTATTAATGTTCCCTTCCCGGTATGAAAAAGAGTTTCTTTCTTCCTACAACTTGTATGGCAACCCTAACTCTTAACTCTGACAACATGACTCTGGGAGGATTGTGGGAGGCCTTGTTGGCAATCACCATCATCATGAACAGATCCTATCCCTGCAATTGTCTACATGGGGATGGCCACAAAGTCTATCCAGAAATTACCGCCAGTCCTGAAAGCACGCAGTGTTTGCCCAGGTTAGCATCACTGCTGCACGAATTCCACTGGCTTCTATTTACAATCCTGGTGCAATTCAAGGTACTGTCGTCTTTAAAGCCCTGAATGGCAGGAGACAATTTACCTGTGGGGTGGCCTCTCCCTGAGATTTGCCTGTTCCACCAGGTCAGATAGGCTGGGCACACTCCAGGTCCCTTCCCTTAAACGTTGCCATCCTGTGGGACTTAGGCAGTGTGTCCCTTCTCAGCAGTGGTCCTTTGTAAAATACTCTTCTCCCCTGAGAACCAGCAGACCCGTACGCTCTTGTTGAAGGTGAGAGGTGTTTGGAGAAGTAGAGAGTTTATAATTTGTTTTTTATTGTTTTATGACTGAAGCAGCCTGGGCTACAGTGCATAAGATGGGGCAGCTATGCTTGTCATTTAAACAAACAAACAAGTGTATTCCCTTGCTGAATGTCTATGCACTATCCAAGAATAGTAACTTTTTAAAAAGCCCACTCAGATAAGGATGGGGACGGGGATGGCAAACCTATGGCACGCAGAGCCCTCTTTGTGGGTACGCGAGCCATCACCCCAGTTCAGGTCCGTCCCGCATGCGTGCTTCCCACTGGCCAGCTGGTCTTTGGTTCTCTGCTGAGCATGCAAGGAGCACATGAACAGGGGGGCGCATGCACAGATGATGCACGCACATGGTGCAGGAGGCATGCACGCATGCACAGGGGTGGGGGGGCATGCATGGGGGGCAGGGCGCATGCACGGGGATGCATGCGCATTGCATTTTGGGGATGCGTGCACACTCGGTGCCGAAAAGGTTAGGCATCACTGGATTAGGATGATTATCAATGTGTATAAATTTGCTCTCAATTTGTTACCTTTCCCCTTCCTTTCTCTCATTGGTAAGTTCTTTGGAACAGAGATCTTTTCAGTTGTTTAAGAATGGAGGAGAAGGCAACCTAAAAAATGTTTTGCTCACCTTTGTGCCTTAAAATATAATTTAATGCTTCTTTTATTAAAAAAAAGATGAAACACAAAAGGCAAAAATATTATATCCTAATCTTTTAAAAGTGGGAAATAAAGTCTTTTCTTCACAAGAAACCATTTCTTACTTTCACTTGATCCTAGAATGTATTTTAATTACATATTGTATGAATTTAAACAATATGCATTTAAATACTTATTGTGTTGAGTTGGATTTCTATGAAGCAGCTGCAAGACAGAACAATTTTGTCCTAAAATCCAAATAAACAGCCCCGCTTCCAAAGACGGTTTAAGTAACAAGTAACCTTATTATACATACAGGCCTATATTCTGGAAATCCTGGGAATCCAGAGACTACATTATGATTGGAGCCATAAAGGCCTACTTCAAAATTATCCTCTTTAGGGACCGCCCCCCTAGAGCAAATTCCTTTAGGGCAAGGGTGTCAAACTTGCATCATCACGTGACGTATCGAGACTTTTTCCCACTTCACTAAAATGGGGGTGGGCGTGGCCACTGCGTGATACATCCAGGCCACAGGCCACGAGTTTGACTTTAGGGGTATTTGGGGAGTTGGAGTCCACCCATCAAAGTGTCAAGCTTGAGAAATACGGCTTTAAGAGCATGAAATTCCAATAGCAGTCATTGTTTGGGGGCATGCCAAAATACAACAGTTCAGGGGTGGGATTCTACCAGTTTGCACCTATTCGCTAGAACCGGTTAACATTCTAAGCAGTTCAGAGAACCTGTTGTTAGAAGAAATTACTGGCCTAATCCTGTAAGAAAGGCAGGAAGGAAACATTCTGGTGTTGCCTACAGAAACTGCCTCTCCATTAACCCTTATTACCTTCTTGGCAGGACTAGACTTCCTGTCTCAGGAACTTCTCTGGAGTTTTTTTCTCCTCCTTTGCTGGTACTTTGCTTGTGTGGAGTGACCATTCAAAGTTACAATGGCCCTGAAAAAAGTGACTTATGACCCTTTTTCACACTTACGACTGTTGCAGCATCCCCACAGTCATGAGAGGCCAGGCGAGGAGATGCGTGCCGCGATGTGAGTGATATTGAGTTGGCCACACCCACCCAGTCACATGACCACCAAGCCACACCCACCCAGTCACATGACCACCAAGCCACGCCCACCACCTAAGCCACACCCACAAAACCAGTTGTAAAAAATTTTGAATCCCACCCCTGCAACCGTTCCATGTAAAGCTATCTGGAAAGCAGGACTCAACCCAGGGAGGTGAAACTGGCAGCCTCTCCCGGAAATAGGTAACTCTTGACAACAAAAATACTTGAATGTGTCCTCATTAGGCAAAGAGCCCAACTGCCCTGCAGAGGCTTATTTGAGCATAAAAATAAGACTAGATCCAATCTTTCCAGTGAACGGAGATGAGCCGAGATCCTCTGATCTTCTAACCTTCGCTGCTTGGAGTTTGAAAATTACAAACCAAAATTATGGGCTTTATTTTTAATTAGGAATAAGAGGATATGTCACTGCATGAGTAACGAAGAACCAAGGTCATCAATTTACTCAATAAAAGGTGGTTAACTTTCCTTTCTATATCTATACTAGCTTGATATCTGTGCTTCACTACGAAACTATGTGGCTGGGCTTAGTTTTGGGGGAGGAAAATGCGGGGGGGGGATTCTGCCTGTGCCTACCATCCTCCATCGGTATTCATCTGGCTAGCATCCTGTCAGTGTGTGAAAGAGTTGAGGGCTGTTTGGAAACTGAAAGAGTAGTTACTGTGTGAGCAAGGAGACAGCAAGGAGCCTGGGCGTGGCTTAGCTCAACTGTTCTGTACTAAAGCTGCTTGGTGCTGTGAAACTGAAACTCCTCTCCTCTGCTTGTGTTTTGCACTTGGAAGAGTCTTCTTTTCAGGTGGGGAGGGGGAGTAGAACTCCTTAGCATCAGAGCATGTTAATAATAATAATATACAAAATATTAATGCTCTGATGGTCATTTCGAAAAATCCTTTCTTAGTGAGCCCCCAGAAGCCAAGAGGAACATATGTGCCAAATTTCAAGTTGGTAGGCTTTACAGTTCTGGAGATTTTGTGATGATGTATGAGTGGTATTTTGTTTTTACATATATAGATGAGTGTAAAATGACTTGATAGCACATGATCCACCAATTAATCAAAGCTTCCTTTCACTAGCAGAATTTTCTAGCCGTTGCTATAAAAAAATTACTGTTTTCTGAACAACTATCCTGTTTAATCTTCCTCAGCCCACACTTCCAACTTGCAATCAATTCTAATTTTACAAGAATATTTTCCTCCAAACTCCTTAGCCTCAGACAGAAAGTCATAAAAGGTTGATTCCCCCCAAGTGCTGCGTCAGGGGGAGTTTAGATTGTATGATACATTGGTGAATGTGGGTCCGGGGGCTGGTTTTCTTGGCTGTATTATTTTTTTGCATGCTACCTAGAGTTATGTGCTACGGGTGCTGATAACTCTCGTAAGTAAATAAATAAATAAATATTCCTACCTTGATTTTTCCCAGTATTTAGCTATTGCCATTAGTACTCTAAGTAACTTATTTATTAGTGATCAAATTTTTATTATTTTTTTATTAGCAAACCTCACAGTGTGGCCAGCTATATCCATCGTGTTCTCTTGGGAAAAGGGTTGCTTGTTATTTTTTCAACACTACTTAAAATTAATGATACTGCAAACCAATACAAAGAAATCCACCTTGGGGTCTGAATTCTTCGGAATTATTCCCTTTGCAACTCTTCAATAAACTTGCTTTATATTTCAGTAAATGCCCTGCCGGCAAAAATATTCACAACAGTCTTAATGTAGCTTATGAGGATCTTCAGCCAACACAACACACACATTTTAAACCCAAGAATAAAGCAGAAACTTGTCCACCCCAAGAATAAAACACTCAAACACAAACTAAGTAGTGTGGTATATGCAGTACAATGCAGTGAGCCATGTGCAGATCTGTACATTGGGAAAACAAAACAACCACTTCATAAACACATGGCACAACATAGGAGAACAAACCCATCAGGACAAGATTCAGCAGTCCATCTGCATTTACAAGACAAAGGCCACTCTTTTGAAGACAGCAAAGTCCACATTTTGGACAGAGAAGGCCTCTGGTTTGAAAGAGCAGTCAGAGCGGCCATCTAGGTCAAAACTGAACACTTCTCTCAACAGAGCAGGAGGGATATGACACCATCTATCTCCAATCTACAATCCGGTCCTTTCAACAGTTCCAAGAAGGCTCTCCACACCCATCTGCACCACTCAAGTGACCCTGAGGACGCAGATAAACCTCCAAGTGGCTTCAACGACCCTCTAAAAGGATGCAAATGACCAGCTGTCTGCAAGGAGCAAAATTCCTTCTATTCCCCACCATCCAATCAGAGCTGAAGAAGCTTCTTGGATGAGAAGAGAAATGTCTTCAAAGAAAAAACAAGGAAGTCCAGTTGCCTCTTGAAAAAGCACCTTTGAGGACAATCTTAACGTACCTGGATTATTTTAAAAAAACTGAGTATTAACTATAATTAATTTCACGATGTCCTCAACATACATACAATCCGATCTAATCCGCATTAGCATTTCCCAAGCAAATTCTCCCAGAAGAGATGGAAACAGAAAAAGCTGGTGATTTATTGTCTCTCAACGTATATCTTGAAGCCCTTTCAAAAATACAAATCCAATCCAGAGGTTCAGCTGTTTGACACTTATAACAAACTCACAGCAGACCCAATTCCTCCTCCTCCTCCCATTTAAAATTGTGGCAGTCAGCAATCAATCTCACCACCAAACCTGATGAAGTCATACCTTGCTGTTCATGTACCATCAACCCAGCCTCCAATGAGCAGAGGGCTTATGATCGCAAGCAAAACCATCTGTCTCCTATGCGAAGTTTGATCATATTTCTTCTACCCGATGCCCTATATACTATTTAGCAACTCTATAAAGAAAGCCTGATACAGTACAGTGAGCGTGATTTTGCATTGTGCTGTACATGGTTCCTTACCCATGGAACGGTTCGCGACTTCTTTCACAAACAAAATTCTGCATAACTCACAATAAGCACTTTTTCAACCCCAGGAATCAAATGAACTCGTCTTATGATGCATCTTCCCTGCGAGGTGTGTCTCCTGGATCACTGCAATGCAAATATCCATGCCAGGAGACGTCCAACAACAAAGAGTGAATGTGTATTTCACAGGTAA